GTACAGAGCTTGTTTGTTGAGTCTCAATGCACAGCGCCTGGAGAGAAAGCTAAATTTCTTGGTGTAAGGTGCGTTGATTAAAATTCCTTTTTTTGACCCCATTTTTCTATAATATGTTGATTTAATATATCAAACATGAAAGGCCGTGTTTGACTACATTTCCAAACACTGAGAAAAGAGTTGAAAATACAACGCTTAGCAGAGTAATTTTGATGGAACTTCAAGGTGTTTGGAAATGTGGTCAAACACTGTCTTGATTGTTTGATAAATCTTCTCAATCGAAACTAAAACTAAGGAGAAAACAGAGAAATGAAATCATAAAAATGTATGCTAATTAAGATCAGGTATCCAAACACGTTCACGGTCATGATTTCCTTTGTTTAAACTTGATGAATTGATAATGAGTTTGAGAACATTTTTCAAATTTATGATACATGTACAACTTTTTCATCGCTGTAAGAGGCAAGAATCAACCACTTTTATCATAGCTCAGATTTCAGATTTTTTATTGTTTTGCACTATTTACATTAATTTTTTTTAACAATCGATCCATAAATAAATATTACATAATATTAACAACAAGAACACAGAAAAAAAATTACAATGTAGCTAAGCTATGTTCTAGTGGGTGACAAAACTCACTCACAATTTAGAAACTTCCAATTGACATGCACATGTAACTAGATCTATTATTCATCTCACAGGGAACAGCGTGTTACAGGAACCATGATTTTTATCTTGATTGGTTTAACTGTGTTCATGTCTCCAATCTTAAAGGTTTGTATTATCAAATTATTCACTGTTGTTAAACATTTGTTATATTCTTTGTTGTGCAACTGATGTCATAAATCCATGACGATGATGATGATAATGCATTCTCTTCACAGTTTGTACCAATGCCTGTTCTTTTCGGCCTCTTCTTCTATATGGGAGTTTCCGCACTCAAAGGATTGCAGGTAAGCACTGTTACACTAGGTTCCTTTGAAGTAGTAGTTAAGTTTCTATCAAAGAGGAAGAGTTAACTTGAATTATTTTGGTCGCTCTTTGACCATCCAGGTAAACTCTCCATATATGCAGGCATCTGTGTGTGGATAGTGTGCAGTATGTAAAGTTAAATTTCTTGTAGACCATGCCTGTGAACAGTAGATGGGTGTCCATGTAGATTCGCAGTAATTACATCCTCAGTGGCAGTACAGAATATTTAATAATCCCTTGTATTTTGAGGTAAAATCTGATTCGCTGTGTGTTCTATCTAACAGTTCTTTGAGAGATTAAAGATCATTTTCATGCCAATCAAGCACCAGCCTGATCTGATGTATTTGCGCCAAGTCCCGGTCAACAGAATCCATATCTTCACATTGATTCAGTTGTTTTGTTTGGGTGTACTGTGGCTCATCAAGTCCACTGACGCTGCCTTAATCTTCCCTGTTATGGTTGGTACTGTTTTGTTGTTACATGTAACATAGTTTTTAGATCTCCCATTGTGTGGGCATATTTAGACTTAAGAGACCTTTTGAAGTGGAAATGGGGCTTTATTAGGAAAAAAGCTCTTACTAGATTTTAAACGTGATTGTAAATTGTAACATTTTGCAGTGAAATTCCAATTTTTGGAAACACCAAGGGAAACAAACATTTGAATAAAATATCAGGTTGTTCGAAAAATCAGGAGTAAAATTACAGTGTTTAATTTAGGACAGGGAAACAACTTTTTCTTCCAAGTTATCAGGAAAGTTGAAAAATAGAGGGTTTGTGAAATCAGGATTTCACTGTTTTTTAAATGGAATTTGTCAACACTTTCTGAAGAAATCTCTCTTAACATACAGGTGTTGATGTTGGTCGCTGTTCGCAAAGTGATGGAGAAAGTTTTCACTCTTCATGAGCTTGAAGTTTTAGATGATTTAATGCCGGAGAGCATTAAGAAGAAAAAAGCAGAAGCATTGCATAAAAAGGATGATGACTACGAGTATGATGAAGATGATGATGAGTGTTGCCATCACGACGATATAGATGGCAAGAAGGTAAAGGCACATGTGCACTAGAATGGGTGTGCCACACCCATAAAGATAGGTACTGTAATTAATACCGAGTTCATAGGATCGCAATGTGAACAAAGAGCAATGTATGCAGTGCCCTCCACACGCAGTGAGTGCCTGTAATGTTTCTAGTTACCATTTTCTGTTTCTCGGAAACGTGCACCTCTCAACTTTAAAATCAAAAGTTGTTCTCTGTTTTCCAGGAATTTTTCTGAGGCTAAAACTGATTTTAAAAACTAATGTTTTGGGAAGTTTGACTTTCCTTCTTCAGAAATTGAAGAAAAAAAAACCGTAAAGTCAATATGGCAGAGTGATGTATTTCTTTGCTTTGTAACCACTCCTTGGGGCATCTCATGACAGTTACATGAAACAAAAGTCATTGTGAAAATGCACGGCAAATGTGGCTAAAAGACACATCAAGAAAATGGCATGAATATGAGATATCACGGTCACTATTTCCATCTTTGCCTATGGTCCTTTCATTAAGGCCATTTTAGTAACCATCTTTCTTGACTCATTGAGAGGCATGGTAGTCTCATGGTTAGTGCAGGTGTATAAATGGGTACCAACAAACGTAATGCTTGGGGTAACCCTGCGATGGACTAGC